CGAACCCGAAATTGACCCGGCACTATTCGGGTTCAGGTCAACCCGACCCAATTTTGCAAACAGGTTGATTTTCCGGACCCAAACCCAACCCGCTTCGGGTTCGGGTCAATCCGACCTGACCCGTTTAGTGTTTAGGGGCAGCGCGTCAGGCGGGGCAGCGGAGCGATGCTGGCGACGTGACAGCCGTCGATGCGTAGAGCGGCCGCGGCAGGCGGTCAAGAGGATCGCGAGGCAAGCGGGGTAGCTCGCGCGAGGCAGCTGGGTTTTCGGGTCATTCCCGGGTTCCGAGTCAACCCGAACCCGACCGATTTTGCAAACGGGTCGGTTTTCAGGACCTGAACCAGACTCGCTTCGGTTTTGGGTCAGCCCAAACCCGAAATTTTCGATCCGGTTTGGGTCGGGTCCAATATTGACACCCCTATTTATTCTTAAGGCGGAATTATATTGCCTTTGTGACTCATATGCAAGTTGTATGATAGAAAGTGGATTCAATTTCTTCCAAATCAGCGAATAACAGTAAGAAATAAGGAAGAAGAACACACAAACTATTTTTATTGCAAGATATATGAAAGAAAATAGCAAGATACAATTCGATCTTCAATTGGAGAGAAAGATATGGCTCTCCCAAATCCCTAGCCGCCGGCTAGAGCCCAAATAACCAAAGAATAAACTAAATTCAGCAAACTCCAAACATCCTCATGAAATCACCCTATTGTTAGCCTTAAATAGGCTCCCATAAGTCTGTCCCACATCAGCTCCATTTCCCTCAATAATTCCCTCTCAGATTTGAATTCAAATTAGATTTATTCCCCTAATTAATTCCCTCCCAATTGTAATTAAAAGTTTCATAAAAAAATCCCTTGCTTGAATAATTCCCTCCCAATTATAATTTAAACATTCTTAAATAATTCCCCTTTGATTAAGAACCTTCATAAACAACTCCCTCTTGATTAGAAAACTTCTTGATTCCCTTCCAATCAAATCAGTCAATCCATTAATACTCTCCTCCCAAAGTCTCACATTGTCCTCAAGGCGAAGCGGATGAAACTATTGTCAAAGCACTTGACTAATAGCACTGGACTGAAAAATGGACTGACACCGGGTTGAATGATCCCTTCCTCCAACATCTCTATAATCAATCTCTCAATCTCATCCTTCTGGATTTGGGGATGACGATACAGAAGAATACTGATAGGTGAGACTCCTTCCTTCAAGATGACTGTATGCTCACATTCCAGCGAAGGAGCCAACCCATGAACTGGTTAGAACACCTCTTGATACTGTTGTAGGAGTGGTTGAACCATGTTTGATGCTTCTATCTTCTCCACATCTTCTACTTCCAAACTTTTCAACTCCATGAAAAATCTCTCTCTTTCACCCTTTTCTCGGTTACCCCTCCTTAGAAGTGGCTCCAAAGATGACATCTCTTCTTCCCCCAAAACTTCTACCTCTTGATCCTCCCTCATCATCCCTATTTTAAGGTTTCCCCCACTTGCCAGTCCCCCAAAACTTCTACCTCTCGATCCTCCCTCGTCATCCCTATATTAAGGTTTCCCCCACTTCTCAGTCCAATCAATGGCGCTCTTGCCTCTGATGTTGTCGATTGGGTGTGAAGCTCCAATAGTTTCCTTATCGGGAAAACTTTTCCTCCATTGATGTCATCTATACTCAAATGTCAATTTAAGTTGGCCAACTTTTCCTTTAAGATGTTCTTCCAATGCATCAACTTTCTTTTCCATCATAAGTCCCAAAAAAGTACTCTGATACCAATTTGATAGGAAATGGATACAATTTCGCCAAAAATAATGAACAACAATAAGAAATTAGGAAAAAGAACACACCTAAACTATTTTTATTGCAAGATATATGAAAAAAAATAGCAAGATACAGTTGGATCTTCAATTGGAGAAGAAGATCCGGCTCTCCCAAATCCCTAGCCACCAGCTAGACCCCAAATAACCTAAGAATAAATTAAATTCAGCAAACACCAAAACATCTTCCTGAAATCACCTCATTATTAGCCTTTAAATAGGCTCCCATAATTCCCTCCCAAATTAGTCCCCTTTCTCTAAATGATTCCCTCTCAGATTTGAATTCAAATAAGATTTATTTATCTAATTAATTCCCTCCCAATTGTAATTAAAACTTTCCTAAAAAATTTCTCCTTAATTCCTTCTCCTTTTCCCTAAATAATTCCCTCTTAGATTGTGAATTCAAATTAGATCTCTTGCTTAAATAATTCCCTCACAATGGTAATTTAAATATTCTTAAATAACTCCCCTTCGATTAAGCTTCCTAAACAACTCCCTCTTGATTAGAAAATTTCCTGATTCCCTCCCAATCAAATCTACCGGTCCATTATTTTGTAACAGACTTTTGGCAATATATGATCTTTGGTCATGTAGTGTGGTTTTGCTTATAAGGCATTCGATTCTATAGCAGGCATATCCAAACGACATATAGGCACCTTTCATTCCATTATTTCAAAATGTTTCCTTATGCAATTGTGTCAAGATCAATGTGGTTTTGGATTTGAACTAAACCAATGAAAGGGAGCCAATTAACTGAATTAAGGATATTAACTGATTATAAATAAGTACCTGAGGTATCTACTTTGGAAACCTTATATTCTATAAAAATTCAAATTCCAATTTTCAATCTTTAGTGTGTTGTTTGGATGTTTGAGTTCTTTGAGTTCGGCGCAAGTGCCATTACTTAATTCCGATGAAAACCATCTCTCCTTGCACCAACCTGAAACTTAAACCTTCACTTTAGTGATCTCTTCTTTTAATCTAGTTTTTGTTTGAAATTTTTGTTACTGGCTTTGCTAGAGTTCTTGGTTTTTATCAAGTTTGATACAGCTGAAATTTAAATTATAGTGTTAAAATTCAATTGCTTATTAATTTTTCATTGTTTGAATTTCTCATATATTTCATTAAATTTTTTTTCGATCATTGTATTATGATTTACTTTTTAAATTCTTGCATTTTCTATTTTGTAGCAAGCTTGATGCATTTAAAGATCTTTGATCTGTGAATCGTAACTTCTTTTCAGTGATCTACATTCATTGCAATATCCTAGTTATATTAAGAAGCCTCATCCAGTCAGCCCTAAAGAATCTTGCATCAAATTGGCATGAGAGTTTTAGTTTTTATCAAAAAGAAAAAAAAAAAACAATTGATAACTTTCATATCTTTAATATGCCAAAAATCAATTGATAATTTACTATAAATGTTTTGATAATTTAATTTTCCTATGGAGATTACTAAATATTTTAATGCTTTATAGATTTTCTGTATTTTGAAATTGATGGTGTTTATAAGTTACCTAGATTCATGATTTCAGTTAACTAAATCACACATTACACTTCATGTCACAAAGCATAAAAAACTTTTGCACATCGTAAATTCATATTGCACATGACAATATTTACATAATATGGATTTTGCACTTCTTTAAAATTTTTATAATAAAAATTGAATCATTTTACTTAATATTAGGGTTTTTCTAATATTATCTGGTTTATTCATATTCTCCAGCGCAAGGAATGGGTGAGCCTGGGCAGTAGATGTAATCTAATAGTGGGTAAGTGAAGTTTGTGCTTGGGTACAAGCTTTTCAGGGCTAGAAAAATGATAAGATGAAGCAAAATAAAAATATATTTGAATCCCGTACCTGAAGCTTTGTTAGTAGCTTTGAAAGCTTTTCAATTTGTTTGTCAATCTCTTGAACCTATGATAGAATAGATAAACTATTGTATGAAGGATTGTGACATAAACAGTCCTAGTAAATACAGCTACATACAAAACATCAAACAGTTACCACAAATTCATATCTACCTGTTTAAAGAATCCTTCCATGCCCAATTCTGAAGAATGCATAGAGCCCTGCAGTCCTAGTTCAACATCCCCCTCTCTTGAAGACTGACCACGAGGGAGCTCAAAGGAGTCCTGTCACATATGGAATTAACAAAAAAGAAACAGTCATAGGATATTAATATTTTGAGATTAAACAATAATAAGGATAAAATTGCAAATACAAATAGCCAGCACAAAGCTATCAACTACATCATCTATAGATATGCAAAATAGTTTGAATCTAACTGAAGCTCCTATCAAAGGCCCATTGAGACAAACCCACAAAAGAAAGTATTGCCACAGAATCTTGCAAGGTAAATTCAAAAACAAATGATATCTGCCATTATGAAAAACATGTCCCATAAGGGCAAAATGCTAATGGTTGTTTGATTTCAGTTAAGTAAATTAAGGATTCCAAGTGTTCCAAACACCCAAATTATCGGCACCAACATCTAATAAAATGCATCATTATGATCAACATAGCCTTATCCCAATTGGGGTGGTCGGCTTTATTCTCATTATCCATTCTTTTTTGTGAGGTGTTGCAGGTATTAATTATGAGTGCAACTTATTTTTGCAAAACTTCTAGACAGCAAAAAGAACAGGTAACTATCCATATCCCTACAAAAAAGAGTAGTATTACGACCTTTATATCCAATCATGAATGGAGTGCCACTCAAGAGATGAAGCATGCAGCTAACAAAAAAATTTTTGAAAGCTGCCAAAAACAATTGGCATAGTTGATACCTTGCCATGTTGGGAGCAAGAAATAACAATCAATTTGACATGAGAAATAAGCCTATGCTTCTTATGCATCCTGAGTACATAGAAGGGTGAGCATAAATACAAAGATTTAATCCTGCTTGGATCCTCGACATGTCTGATTCAACATTCATGTGTGCACTCAACCAAAACTGTAGTAAGCAAATTTCCCAGCTGGATGGCGAGATTCCATAACCTCATTATAGTTTGGTTAGTGTATCAATCAAGAAACATACTTCCTATACAATGGGCTTGGTGAAGTACAATCACTTTTGAAGTCAACAAGAAATATTTAATGCTATTAATTGTTGAACTGCCCTAACCATATAAATTTATTCGTTTATCACCCTAATCTTTAATACTATTCGTGTATCACCCAATATATTAAATATTATAAAGATTCACCATTGCTGAGATGTCAAACTAAAAGGAATGTTAGGTAAATCTTCATATAACCAACCACCATTAATTCGCATTAATTGTGGAGAAACCCTCATCGCAAACAACCATTCTGCGCCCCAAAAAAAAGTTGGGGGCGTCGATGTTTACTTCTGGCTAAAGACTGAGTGCCAAAGTGCTAAGGGTGGCTGCTGGGAAGGAGGAGAGACATTTCTATATTAATAGGTCTCCAATAATGTTGAGGTGACAATGCATTTCGCCAGCAAAGATCGAGCAGTAAAGAAGTGAGCTCAAACATTGCTCTATAGAGACACGTGTACAAGAAATTAGAACTAGGGACTTGGTGAAGATGAACAAAATTGAGAATGAGCGAGGAACATATCAGAGGGACTTAAAATTAAAAATAACTTATAAATTGAGACCATTTTCAAGTTAACAATGATAGGTCTAGCATTTTCTGACCTATCTACGGTAAAATACTAGTAATAAGAGATGATTAAGGGAGTAAAGACATACATTAAGGTTTTATAACAGAAATACTGAAGATCGAGATGGCATAGTAAAATCAAATTCATAATTTTATGATAGTAAAAATGAAAAATCCCAAACCCGAAAATTGACTTGCTCTAGCTAAAACCAATGCTTTTATAAAATCAGAACATAAAGACATAATTAGCATTACAGTTAATAAAAAAATTTCACAATAGAAAGATGACAGAATTCTTGGTGAACTACTCCGTCAGCCCCAATTTTTTACTTCGTAAAGCCCCCTGCTTGCAATCCAGAAACCAACCAAGAGTAAGCAATAACAGGAAATTATTCCAGCACACCCTATAGCTTACAAAAGATAGCTTTACCCTCCAAACCAAACGAAACACGCGTCTCAGTTTCGCTCAACATTCTAAACTCTCCAGATTCTCCCACGAGCCTCTAGTGAACCACGAAATCCGAAAGCCCAATCACTCACTCCCGACACCAATCCTTCTCCAAACACAGTACCGAAAGAAAAAACCCTAATCGAACTATAAACCAACCAAGCGTGAAACAATACCAGATCTATCAAATCTCAAGACTGCATACATCAGAGACCATACAAAGAAACCCACATTCACAGCATAAATTAATCTTAAATTAATCTCACATAACAATGGAAGACTCGAAACCCAAACTATACCGTTAGAAGATTGTTCATCTTCAGGACAAAAGCTTAGCTTCCGCAGGTGAGATCGCCGGAGCTACTAGACCCTACTCCGATCTGAGAACCAGAGATATTGAGTTCGGAGATCCAGGAATGGCGTTGGAAGGAAATAGCAACTCGGAGAAAAGCGTGGAGAGAGAAAGAAACCGAAGCAGGGGGAGGAAGATAGCGATGCTGAGGACAGCTCGTTTTAGTAGGTAAGATTTTAAGGTTGAGCTGTGTCATTTTAATTTACGGGGATTTACATATATACCACTTTACTTTATATTATTTATATATTTAATATTTAAAATTTAAGCGTGGAGAGAGAAAGAAACCGAAGCAGGGGGAGGAAGATAGCGATGCTGAGGACAGCTCGTTTTAGTAGGTAAGATTTTAAGGTTGAGCTGTGTCATTTTAATTTACGGGGATTTACATATATACCACTTTACTTTATATTATTTATATATTTAATATTTAAAATTTAATATTATATAGCTATCATCTATAAATAAATATGAATACATGAAATATAATATTAATTTTTATAAGGAGGTATGGGTGGTGAGAATGAAATATATTAATAAAATTTTTAATATTAAAATTTTATATGAGTATTAGGAATGTAATTTTAAAATTTTAGATGTTAAATATGTAAATAATATGAAATAAAGTGGTATATATATATATATATATATATAT